ACAGCCAAGTTGGACAAAGGAGAAGGACAAGAGGGAGGAAGACTATGAGCCTTCAGCACAAGAGACCTCCAGAGACCCCCAGAGGGACCACCGGAGACTGATACTCATGCTCCAGTAGGAGGGTTTGGATTCTGGAAACTAATTATAATAACTCTGTTTTTTTTAGAAGTAGTAATGAATATGTATCAGCCTAGGAGCACAAAAATCAGCTGCTTGATGTAACTGGTGTGCGTCTTGGTGGAACAGAGACTCCCGGCACACCCAGCGCTGTTTGCTTACAGCGCTGTTTGCTTATTCCTTTAATAAATTGTAAACTTTGATTATAGTCCTATTTTGAAGACTGAGCCATTTATTACACAAACTAAGCAGGTGTCCTTAGTACATGATATATTGCAAGAATGTTAAAATACAGAAACTCAACATTTTTAAACTCCATCACCTACTTTTTCTTTCACTCAGAAAGGCTTCTTAAGCCAAGAAGTAAAGCATGGGTAGAAACAGGAGGCATTCACACTGGAAGTAAATCCTGGCTAGCCTGAGATAAATAGGGTAGGAATCAACATGGAGAAGTGAGGGACTAGGAGAATCTGGTGCTCTTAAAATTCCAGATTGAGGTAATAGTATGACTTCGTTTTCACATAGTGAAATGTCCTTACAGGACAGTAAGAAGCTGGATATGGAGTCAGGCCTAGACTGGAAGGAAACACTCAGTACGGTATGTCATGGGCCATTTATTTCATGGGAGACATTCACAGGGTGCATGAATTTCCACCCAGTCTATGCACACTGCCACAGATCAGGGCTGTGGAAACCAGCAAGCTGTTCTGTTCCATATTTTTATTCTCTCTTCAGCTTCAAGAGCCAGAATTAACTAAAATCTAAAGGTATATCCAGTTTATCTCAACAGACATTATTCCAAGATAGTACTTCTGAAATGTTTTTGTATCCTTTTAGCTGCAGACTGGAGGAACTGCAGAAATACAATGCAAAAGCTTCATGTCTAGAAAAATAATAATAATAATAATAATAATTAATAATAATAATAATAATAATAATAATAATAATAATAATAATAATAAATGCTTTCCTAGTTCTTTCAAAATAATATTATAACCACTGAAGGCCAGTGTTGGTGCTGTGACAGGAATGCTGTGCATTGCAGTCAAAATAGTTTCTCCAGACCAAAGGAGGTAAAAAGAAAATGAATTAGGAAAATTCACTTAGAAGTTACTATGGTCAGACTTTGCTGATGAAGTGGCACAGCACATAAAAGCAAAGTAAGTTTTGATGTCAAGAAAGAAATAGAGTTTAGGGAAGGAAGAAGAATTCTGAGAAATTTTCAAAGAACCATAAAAAACATTGTGGAAAAACAGGAGACAAAAGGCTAGGTGTTAGTCTAAGGTAGAAACATGAGGCCTTTGCAAATAACCGTTTTATCCACAGATGTTACAGATAACAGCTCCCGATAACAGCCATGTTTCTTTTAAATAATTCCAAAGAATGTGTAAAGGTGAAATATTACTTTCATGAGTAAATTTTCTGATTAAACAATAAAAGTAACAAGGTAAAGCTAAAATAAGTAAATAATTAAATAAAAAGTGAAAATATATTATGGCTAAGGCTGACATTTTATAACAGATTTTTAATTTCTTCTGTAACTTTTTTCTTTCTGATATGTATATTTTTTCTAAAATAGAATCAACTATGTAATAATCACTGTTTGACATGGGAGATATGCCTGTCAAAATTAGAAACTTCTAGTGTTCAGCAGGCAAAATATGATCAGGACTATTTCTGTCATAAGAATTTCTGTCAGTTTTATGACTATTTATATTGGTAACTTTTATATTTCATCGCAACTTCAGCTAGCAACTCATGGAAAAAATCAGGAAAAATAAACATGGATCCTATTTCCCATCTCTTAATTAGTATGTTTGTGAGAGAAATGGGTGTGTTTTCTTAGAAGTAATATTTTAAGAAAATCTCAGGATGGGAGAATAAATATGAGTAACATTAGTAACATTACGAATCAAATATCATTTTTTTTTTTTTGGAGACAGGCAAAAACTTTCATGTGGGGTAAAATGAAATTTTCAAATGTGGCAGTTACACAAATTAATTGACTGAAAATATTTTAAAAATATTTAAAACCAAGTTAAAAATTATCTGAAACATCTTAATGCTACTTTAAATTTGTAAGGTTCTGTCTGTTGTTTGCTTTTGATTACATAACTTTCTGTGCATTTCTATTTAGCACATAATGATCTGTGTGAACTTTCTGTGATGCCCATGAGGTTAACATGCTGAGGCCAAGTTGTAAGAAGCAGTTAAATATCCATGATTTCTGCTTCATGGAGATAGTCTTTTTTTTTTTTTTTTTTTTTTTTTGTATTGTTTGTTTGTTTTGTGAAAATCATGCATAAGACTTCTTTCAAGGTTCATCCGCTTGTGGTGGGGGGGGGGGTAGCAATTTGCTACCAATTGGTAGCAAAGAAGCACTTCAAGTCCATTGAACTGAAAAAATATTTTTCAAGACATCTCTTAGCCTTAGACCTGGAGACTAGCATGCGTTCTTTCTAGATATTTCCTGTCCTCATGTAGCTTTTCTCAGGCTTGAGAGCATTCTCTTACTCCTATGTAGATGAGTAAATAACTTCAATGCATATAAACACATGCATATGCATGAGCCCTGAAAGATGCCATAATTCACTATATCAGATTATTTAAAATTGCCCCAAATTAAGTTCTCACTAAAATATGTTTGTATGGATACCGGCCTCCTTTAAATCTGGTTTCATCCACATAATTTCCTGTATTTCAGGATTCTGTCAGAGTTGCTAACTGTTTAATTCATTACAAGCCAGCTGAAGCTGGAAAGTCCATAACATTGCCATAGTAACTGAGTGGACAAAGACTTAATTCATTAGTTTATATAAGCCAGAACTCATATCCTGCAGACAGTAATGGTTATAAATTATGTATGTCTATAAAGCCAATGTTAATGGATTATATATATATTTAATAAATAGGTGTCAGTTCCTTAATAGTGAAAAATGGGCTTTGACTGCCCAATGCTCTCTCAAAAATAGTTTTATGTTAGATAGTTAGTCAATCAAAAAGTCAAGGGGAATGAAAAAGAACAAGAAACTGGGGTATGATAACAGTAGTGCTTTCTATGTTAAGAGAGGCTATTAATTATATTATTATTAATTTATTAACTGTTTATTTTGAAGAAGTCTCCAAAATAAAGCTGTAAAACAGTGTAGATTTACAGTAACAGTTCATTTTGAATTTTGCAGCCTGATGAGAATGACTTACCTGGAGTCAATTTTCATTGTTCCTAATCCACAGATTCAGGGACACTGCTCAGGTAACAAAAGTGAAAGAGCGAGACTGAAATTTCTCTTGAAATTTCTCTTGAAAAATGTTTTCTGAATCACATAATTATGTCATGGGCAATGTGGTTTATTTAGGTGCACTGTGTTCTCTTGTATTAAAAACAAGAAGGTAACATGGTCACCAGTGGTACTTGGTGGTGTCAAGATGGATTTCAAGAATGAAAAACTGTTACTTTGAACTAAACTGAAATCACACACCAACTCTGAGAGCAATTGCAGGGTTATTTTATTGTCTCTGAATTCTGTAGCTATTTTTCATAAGATTCCTGGGGATATTAGTTATTCATTTTAATCCTGTAACTGTGAAAAGTACAACCCAGGTGGGAATTGCCACTACAGCCTTATTTTACTTTATGTTGCTTTATTTCATTCTTTTCTTACACTTTAATTCTAGTGACAGCTTTCAGCAGGATGTTGAACCTGAAAGTTTTTTCTGTGCATTTAATTCAAAGAGCAGACTGTCACCTATATTTCTCCCTCAATGGAATTCTACTGCTTATCACCCTATTAGACTTCATTTGTTTTATATTGTTCTTTTTTTGTTTTGTTTTGGTTTGGTTTGGTTTTTGTTTGTTTGTTTGTTTGTGTGTGTGTGAGCGCTTTTTTGTATGAGAGTGCTTTTTTGGGGGACAATTTTTAATTTTTCCATGAAGTTCTCAGGAGCTGTAAGCTGCATAGGCTACTGACTTAATAACATATTCCTTCTCATGTCCCTTCTCCATCCTACTCTATTGTACAGCACATTTTGACTCCTTAGATATCTCATCTGGAAAGTGCTTTTATTAGATGATGTCCTGTAATTGAGGACTTCTGATATAAACCTAGTTTATATGTTTTGTTTTGTTTTTCTCAAAGGTTGTTAAAGTGCATATGAACTTTGTATTAAGCCTATTAAGCTTTCAACAGTAAGAGCTGATTTTAATAAAAGTGTCTAGCATCTGGAGGCTTACATTTAAAAGATGACTCTGAAAATCAATGCCCAAATCCCAGGAACATTTTTTTTTTTCTTGTTTTTTTCTTGTTATTACCAACAACTCTCAGCCAGAAAGGTAAATTCTGTGCATTTTTTTTCTCATTTTGCTTAAATTTACTTTCATGGCCTTCTCACTCTTAACTGAAATATGACCAAAACCTTGGTGCTAACGCAGATTATATTTTTGTACTATTTCATCCTGCTAGCTGTGTGGTAACTAAGGAGTAAAAATAAGGGCAACATATTAGTGCAGTGTTATGAAATCGTTAGCATGTCAAAAAAATTCTGCTCTCTCGGAGGGGGCCAGAGCTGTTCTCCATGAAAGAGCGCTACTATAGCAATAGAAGAAGGAGAAGGAGAAGGAGAAGGAGAAGGAGAAGGAGAAGGAGAAGGAGAAGGAGAAGGAGAAGGAGAAGGAGAAGGAGAAGGAGAAGGAGAAGGAGATAGAATGTATAATTTTCCTAAGAGGTAAATAAAAGTTTTAAGATTTCTTAGTGTTTGTAGAGAAACTAATATATCTAATGCGTTAACTTTACTCATTGATTAAGAAAAAAAAAAAAAAAAAAAAAAAAAAAAAAAAAAAAAAACAATACCAAGACAGATAAAACAACAGTAAAACATTCACCCACATTCTCCAAAGGAAATGATACTCTCCAAAGAGGTAACATGCCAGCTAGAAGAGAGAACAAATGAAAGATTTTATATCTTCAAAACTTGCCTTTCAAGATATTTGCCATTTTCTGTACATGATATCAACCAAGTTTTCCAAAATACACACAGAATATTTAAAACAAATAGAACAGTACTGTTACTTAAAATTGTAATTAGCTTGGGAAAAATATTTTACCTTGAGAAAATGGTTGAAGAACTCTGAACTGTTTCAAAGTTAAGTTATTCCAAACTGATTGAATTATCTGAAATACCACAAAGGGATATCTTTTTCTGTTGAAAAAAAAAAAAAAAAAAAAAAAAAAAAAAAGAAAATAGAAATATAAAAAAATATAGAAAAATATAGAATAAAAAAAGAAAAACAGTTAGTTCATATTAGTTTATATCAACAGAATAGGGGATATTAAACTACACATCATACCACTATTTTTTTTTTCCCCAAATATCAATATCAAACTGGATGCTGAACTATATGCAGCAAGAACCAAATAGAGTCCAAGCAGACTCTGTGCAAAGGCAATCTTAAAACAAAATATGACCTATTATTAGGATTTTTGCAATTCAATCTATTTGGATTTACAATGTCATCTCTCTGGAAACAACAACCAAATCAGTATACAGGCCACATAATTCATCTGCAATTAAAGTACTTCACATTGAAGATCACTTTCTCCACCAGCTATTACTCTAATATCGTTTTAGATTAAAAAAAAAATAAATCTTTTTTTGTACTAAATGGTAAATAAATTCTAAGCAGTCTCCTTTTACACCCACCTTGTTCTTTTGCAATTCTTCTAAAACTAATTTAGCATGTTTTTTAAATAGTACCACAACTTTAAGCTGCTTTTTCCTTCTCTTGTATTATCTGCCACTTTTAACTGGTTACCTCTCATTTTGTTTGTACCTATGTGTTGCAGGAAGCACGGCCGAAAGCACGACAGACACCAGTAGAGTCAGATCATGCTCCATTTTATTGCCCGAATAGCCTAACTTTTATAGAGAACTTAACAGGGGTGGACAGTGTTTCACACAAGATTATTGGTCAAAAGCACTCAGACAAACAACTGCAAGAAAACAACCCCACCTGCGAGAAAACAACCCCCTTGTGATTAGCAGTCACATAGACCTTGTCCCTGAAGCCAGCTACTGGTAACAATATTTTTCTGAGTTCCTCAATTGGGCGATGTGGGAACACTGTCATGGGAACTTCTCATAGTTGCCCTGGTAGCTTGGTTTGCTCAGCTACAGCAAGCCATGGGATTTTTGCTGTTTCAAGAAATCCCTCAACACCTATGAACTAAGAATTTATATGCTATAAATTAAACAAACTTAAATAACAATAATAACAATAATAATAATACTATTAAATTCCCAGATTATTTAGTACTTGTGCCAATACAATACAGGAGAAAGTCTGAAGGGAGGAACTGCCTGACTGGAGAGTGACTGGGATGCTTTCAACATGTTTATAGCTTTATCTCTTTAGTAAAGATGTTATTGTTTCTTTTCAAGGCTAAACTCAAATCTTTTCAGGTCACAGGACTTTTTCATGTATAGTGTTCAGTTTATTGAGCATCTTAATGCAATATAAGTAGTTCTTATGAACTACTTCTAACCTCACTACACCTAAACCCAAATGTTCATCCTTCTTTAGATCACTCAGAGAATAGCCAATGGAACAAGGTTTGGTTTCTGACTATACAGCTGGGGAAGGAAAAGAACAGAAGAAAAAAATGTATTTCAAGATAATGCCTTCTGATAAAAACCACCCCAAGTTATGTTTTCAAATTAAGGAGTTTACATGTGGTGTTAATGAACAATGGCCTCAAATTATGTAACCTTTATACAAAATATAGTCTTTAAATAAAATAGCAGTATATACTATTTATACATATCTTTATGAAAAAAAAATACAGAATCACAGAATCATCTAGGTTGGAAGAGACCTCCAAGATCCAACCTCTCACCTAACATTAACAAGTCCGCCACTAAACCATATCACATCTGAATGTCTTTTAAAGACCTCCAGGGATGGAGACTCAACCACTTCTCTGGGCAGCCCATTCCAATGCCTAACAAACCTTTTGGTAAAGAAGTTTTTCCTAATATCCAACCTAAATCTCACTTGGCACAACTTTAGCCCATTCCTCCTCATCCTATCACCAGGCACGTGGGAGAATAGACCAATCCCCACCTCGCTAAAGATATATACAGATATATACAGATATATATAAATAGCTAGCTGCCTAATAGTAAAGTCCTGAAAATCCAAAGCAGCTACTGTTACGGTATGCTCTCAAAAGGTCTTTAAGACATCATGACTTCAGTGCTGAATCCTTTACTGACTTGTGTTTTTTTAATAATTATTATTTTATTATATTATTACATTTTATCATTATTATATATTATTGCAGTATTTCATTAATAATAATTATTATGTTATTGATTTTATTATATCATTGTTTTGATAATTATTGTTTTTAATAATTAATTTGAAAATAAAAATGTTGGGAATTTTCTGCATGTAGAACTAAATAGTGTAGTTTCTTTGTTTTTCAAAACTTGAAGAAGCTTATTTGTTTTCTTTAATGGGAGGACATACAACCATACATTTTATTTTTTAATTGTTTTTTAAATAATTATGAACTAATTTTTAATCAATATTTAACTGTTAACGAAGCAATACAAGGGAAGACAGAGCAGACTGTGATGAATAAACGTGCTGCAATTTGCTATCAATGTAGCAGCAGCCTGCATGCCTGAGCTTGGTGGTGTGAATGGCAGCAGGGCTGGGTTGGCTCAGCATCCCCCACTTACCTTCTTTGTCCAGCTGCAGGAGGCAACAAGCCATCAGAAGCTGTTGAGGTTGTCACCAGTGGTTCTCCCTTGCATCAAGAAATCAATGTGTCTGACAGGCAAATACCTTACATTGTCTTTTATAGAGATGAACTTGCCAGCACTTGACAGTGTTCCAACCTTTTACACCTATTAAGGAAGGAAACAATAATGCTGTCCTCTTCTCTCTAGGGTTTTCTATATGCTACCTCTGACTGTGTCCTAAATGAATCAAGAAATCAATTTGCAGCCTCTCTGCCTCAGTTAAATCAAACTTATTCACAGTTTCTGCTGAGTAAAAAACATCCAGTGCTTCCCCACAGGTATCTGCTGTCACTTTGGCAAAGCATATCAGAGCCCTGACCAAAGCTATGATGTCCAAAATGTTTCATTTTACTTTTATATTTTTTTAGCTTTACTTGTAAATGTTTTACTACTGCATGACATTGTTTTCATTAATAATATTTGTGTGAACTAATTCTGCTCTTAAAATCAGTGCTTACTAAATACGACTGCTAAATAAGGTGGAAAAATTAATGCTATTACCAAAAGAACAAACCATAATATGGAATAAAGCCCATTTTTATTGAAAAATTGTTACTAGAAGATGAAAGATGACAGTGTTTATTGTGGACATGGACATTACAGGCTATTTAATAACCTAAGTATTTACTTATTTTATTTATATGCCTGTGAATAATTATTGTTTAAGGCACAGATAGTGTTTTTATTTTTAACAATACATGTACAAGGCCTGAGGCTCCCATGTTTTCTAAGGGTATGATTTATTAATTTAGGCACCTGAAAGATCTGGCTTAATATGCTCCCTCGGTAGTCAAAGGAAAGAGAAAGGCAGTGGTGTTTTATTGCACTGTAAGAAAGACAACTAAGTACGAAGTCTAAATCAACTTATTTCTGTCTGGAATGGAGCATGATAATTAACCTAAGATAATAAAATATCTATTAAATATGTACTAATAGGTCACATGAACTACTGAAATACTGTATGAAATTCTTATAAAATACGCTATTTATTATCTTGAAACAAATTACTTTGTAATATAAAATAAGCACTGTTTAGAAAAAAATTGTCTCTGGACTGGACAAGAGGAGTGATATTACCCAAAGGAGTGAACATTTCTTAATGTTTTCCACTATATTATATATTATATATTATATATATTATATATATATATATATAATGTGTGTGTGTGTGTGTATATATATATATATATATATATATATATATATATATATTCAGGGAAACTATGTATTTTGAAACCTTACCTTATCACAGCTAATTATCAAAATATCAGAATGTAGAATGTTTTTCTGATGTAATAGTATGATTTATGATGAATAAGATTATCATGTCATAATACTAAGTTATCATACCATATAATAAGTACATCATGAATTCTAATAAATTTCATAGTGTAGAAATAAAATAAATATGTTACTTTTGGATATTTAAAAAAAAAAAATCAAAGCAAAAAAAAGCAAAGCTTAGTTTTCTGTATTTCCTCACTTATGATTCTATATGATTTTGCCACATGTATTTTAAAACTCTCACATCTTTTCATGCCTTGCAGGTTGATACAATTTCAGTCTTACTGACAATCAAATCATTCTTCCATAGGTTCCAATACATGAACATCTAGGCTCATCTCACTTGCCTGGTTTAGCTACAGTAACCATTCCTGCAGCAGAAAAACAGTTAAAAAATAGTCCCACACACAAAAATTACAAATTACTACAAATCTAATGTTGCTGTCTGAAAAATAAATAAATAGATAAAATAAATTGTTCTAACAGAGTTTAATTTCAGATAGCCTATTGAAATTGTATATCTTTTAGTCTCACTTTTATGATTAGTAGTGCTCCAAAATAGTGTTATTTTTATGATGTAATGTTTTGTGCTGTGCTGCCTTGTTTACATTTGAAATAAAATCGCATTATAGTAGCTTAGACTTAAGCAGTATTCCTCCACTTCAAAATCTGCTATCGTTTTGGAAAAGCTATATTTAAAAATTAATAATAATAATTAATTAAGACCACAGGAAAAAAATGTACAGAAAAGTAAAATTGTATGTTTATGACAACTTACCAGTTATTCACATCTTTGAATTATTTGTTTCCAATTTTTATGATATATCTGAAAGTGTGATTATGAATTTCAGAGTTTTCCTGAAAGCTTCATGTATGCAACAAACCCAATATATTTGTATGCAACAAATATATAGCTTATATTTCAGGGTAAATTATTGCTTTTGAATTTCTCTTTTTTTTTTTCAGAAATATTTTCTCATTTTCAGGAAATGGCATCTATTATCTGTTATCTATTGGGTGTGGTTTTAAAGACTTAGTATAATAAGAATTATTTTGTTGCTGTTATGTTTTGTTAATGATGCATTGCCAAAATCAGACAGTTATTCATCCGGGCTGTTTGGATGTAGAAGAACTATCTAGCTCTGCTCATAAAGAGAGAATAGCTCAGGATCTGGCCTCGAACCTGAGGGGGCTCTTGCTCCCATTTCAGATAATTTGCAGTACCATCCTGTGTTAGCCTCTCCTAATGACATATACATTAAGATATTTGTAACCTATCCTATATGTGACAGCTATATGTGACAGCTATAACCTAACCTATACATGACAGCTGTGTGAGAATGTGAGCCCCAGTTGGACCCACCATGCTGGAGTGAAAACTAGTTACTACAACAGTGAAACATTGGGTGCAATCATCCAGAGAGGTACGGCTACAGGCTGGTGTGGTGTGGTGTGCTGAGAGGATTCAAATGGACAATCACAGTTGGATAATGTCTGTGAAACCAGTAATTGATGTGGTTTGGATCACTTAGAGAGAAAACTCATGGGTACATGTAGGAGGGAACCCAGATATATGGGGGGACCACAGGGGTATGTGTAGGGAGAACTACCTGGGTACCTGTGGGAAGACCCCAGGAGGGAACCAAGAAGACACCAGAGACCCCCATGGCCCCATCCTGGGCTGTGCACAACATGGTGGAGATATCTGTGCTGATCTACAATGATGGTGTCATCCCTCAGATCATAGGACAGAGGAGTTGTGTGGCTCATAAGAATTACATATACACGTAGCTGTGATTAAAATGTTTGGATATCTGAAACCATTCAATCTCCACACTGAAGCTGAAATTGATCTTAAACCATGGCAGTCTTTGAGTCTAGGTTCTATTTTCCTGTAATCATTAAATGGGAAGATATCTTTTCATAAGACTTAAAAAAATAGCCAAGTTAAAGAGCTGAGTAGAATAATATTACATGTAAGGCACCAGAAAATGAGTCTAATTTTATAACATTTGCACAGTCCTGAAAACACGCATATGAAAAGCTGAGCAATCAGCACAGTTTATCTCTATGTGACATTTCCAAACACTATTTATATTTTTCATGGGTCAGTCTTTTACGAAAATAGCTTTGTACGCTAGCTATCTAATGATCTGGCATTTGAAACCAATTCAATTTATATGTTAAATTTGATGTTAGGGGAAAACCAATACACTTACTACTTTTTTGTTATGTAAGTCTGGTTGTCATATTAATTTGTCTGGAAACATCTTTTTATTTTCCAGAGGTACATCAAGGGATATAAAGTAACATAAATCATTCTGGCTCATCTACCACTGGGAATTACTGCTAAGGGTAAATTTTGGCCCAGACAGTATATATCACAGAGATACATAAAAAAGAGCACTAGCAATGCCCTTAATCTTCCCTGGCAGCTATCTGCATCTCGTGGAGAAAGACAGAGTGAGAGATCAGTCACTGGAAGATGAGCAGGACAGTAACTGAAACTAGCACTGCCTTCCAATTCACTGGCAAAGACGGGAGTTTTATTCAGCACCATGCTGGCACACATCCTTCTCTCCCTTCACCCCTTCCCTCCAATTTTCTGCAGGAAGCTGGGTAAGGTGTTGCGAGCACAGTTGGTAACTGCAGTATGCCTCTTTCAGCAACAATGCTACCAGCTGCCTTATACCAGGGCTGTGGCTCTGCCCCAAATGCCACGGACATTGAGCAGTGAGTAGGGCAGCTAATAGCTTTGGAAAACCCTCTCTGCTTTAAAACAAAACAAAACAAAACAAAACAGCAAAAAAAAAAAAACAAAAAAAAACAAACAAACAAACAAACAAACAAAAAAAAAACCTGCATGAGAATAATTATAATAATAGTAACAACAACGTTAAAAGCATAAGTTGCTATCTCCATTATCTCCATTGACCAAAGGAGAACTGCAGGCACTTATGTACTTCTGTTGCTTATAATACTGCAGGGAAAAGATACCAATTTTCACAAACTTAAAAGACATCCTATTGGCTAACGCTACCTAAGATTGTCAAAACAACTGTGGAAAACAACTTGTCTTTCAACATTCAACAGGGAAATCTCTCATTTTCTAGTTATATGGATTAAAACATTAATTTCTTGTGATGCTTTTTAAAAGTAACTTTGTTGCCACTGAGATTGTTGTGCTACCCGTTTAAGTGAGAAAGAGACCCAAGTTAATTTTAAATAAACAGGTATGTGACTGTTTAAAAAACAATAATAATAAGCCAAACTCCATTAAATGTAATTGTAATCCTTTCCATTTCCTTTTTACTAGTCTTCCTCAACTAACTTAATTCTGCTTTAATTTGGAGTTACTCTGTTGTAATTCTGTGTGTTAGAAAAAGGCAATTTTACCACCAAGGCTTGAATAAAAATAATTTTTGCAATGATGATGGACTCTGGGAGAAAATAGTCTCTTTTAATATTCTTCTTGTACGGATGAAAGAGAGAAGCAACGTGCACCATTTGGAGAAAAAATGCCATTTCAGATCCTCCCAAATATCATGGATAACAGTCCGAAGATAACAGGACTGCTCCTTGTCTGTAATGTTAATGAGTAAGGATGCTAGGGAGCTTCTGTAGCAAACTGCATATTCATACTCCTCATGGCAACACATAATACATAGCACTTGTATGAATGCTTGTATGACTGTTTTCATTTCCATAAAATATGCAGAGAATATTTAGAGTATTGTGGATTATATAAAGCCTTACATGTTTCTGCACTATGACTTTCTCTGCTCTGTTTATGAAGTTTGTTGGCAGTTTTCTTGACATTTTTAGAGTGCTCCCAGTCATTTAGAAAACACAAAATAATGATTTAGCAGAGATTCACTTCTTTTTCTTTTTTTGACTCTCATGTTTAATCACCATAGATAAAACTCCTAAGTGAACGCTGTTCACTTGTGGTGACCACATCCAGTGAAACCTGTCTGCTCTTTGTCCCATTTCCTGATATACTTTGTTTCTGAGATCTAGAACTTATATAGCAATTTAAAATTCTTAAAAGACAACAAAGAATTAATACCTCCTGTGTGTTTTTATAATATTTTTTGTTTGTTTGTTGGTTTTTCTGACCACTTCTGAAAGGCGTCATAATTCATATTGCTGTGTAAACTGTTCTATCATGTCCTACAAATCCTATTCATCATTCTGAAAATGTTCCCTGTGAAGAAAACAGTAAGTAACCACAGTTTCTTTTCCATTTGCCAAGCATTGTCTCTTTAAATCCCTTTTATATTTTTCAGTCTTTGTATTTTAGAGGAAGTCATTAAGTTGGCTATACTATGAGAACACCAGCAATGAATAGCCATGTGTACTCTTTATACTATGCTGCATGAGAATGAGAGCAGGACATTTTAATACTTATTCATAAAAGCATTTAATATGATATTGTTTAATATAGTAGTAAAGTTCTTTTAAGCATAACATTGCCAAGCAAAATAAAACTTCAAGAACTTTAAATTGCTATCTTATTTACCTATATAATATATAAGTTCCTTTAAGATTTGTAAAACACGGAAAAACTGTCTATTTTGCAGAGAGATTTTATCTTGGCTAGATTTAAATCAGAATAAATACATCAAGGCAGTGATCAGTCATATTGAATATAGTTATTCCTTTGCTAATTACATTTTATAATTTATTATAGTAGGATTGGGTTTCCAGTCTGTCATAATTCCATGTAAAAGTAAAACAAGAAAATGTTAAGTGACAGCTCACACTTTCCCTGATGTTTAGTTATCAGTTTTGCCACTTTTGCCACAGTTGAAAAAATGTCAATAATGATAAACAAATAAATAAATAAATTTTAAATTACATCAGAATATATAAACTTCAGAGTCTTTGATTAAGATAGTCTTTGAAATCTTAATTCAGGCATTATTGTTTTTATTTTTTGTTTGTTTGTTTGTTTTTAAGTTGCAGTATTATATTTGCAGACACAAAGACAGCCTTGTATGGAGAATTTGATATTTTTTCTTCCTCCCCCCCCCAAAAAAAGAAAAAAGTATTGTTGCGTATTTGAATGTCTCTAATTTCATCCTCTCAAAAGGAATTTGACAGAACAACTCTATCAGTGGCCTGAGAGTGAGGGATTCTAACTTAATATCACCTTCCATTTACAAGGTCTTCACCATGTCTGTGTCCCTGTTGGTAAGCCTGGGAATAATGTGCTAAATATCATTAGCAGTTTTTGCTTGATAGCTTGGTAGCACCAGCAATTGCAAATCCTTTTATGCTACAGGCAAAGCCACTGCAGAGAAGAGGCCGGGATCTGTGTACCCAAAGCACAATTATGTTCCCAGCTCTGTCCCACACGGTCTTGTTGTCACTGCTCCATCCTCATTAACTTCCTCTGTAATGGATATCTACCTTTTCTGCTTAGCCGGGCCCAAAATGAAAACTCCATAATAACCAGGGTCATTCTGGCCTGGATAGCTGGCCGTGGTATGTGCTCTTTGGCCTCTCCATTCATTTATCTTCAGAAACAAGTATTTTGCTGGGGTAAATAGCTTGAAGGGATAGATAAGGAAAATATTTTATTATACCTTCTGCTTAGCATCATGTGCACTCAGAAGGGCTTAAGAATATAGTTGAAATAGACTGAAATTTAAGAGACAGTGGTGGAACTTTTTTTTATTATTATTATTATTTTTTTTCTGCCTGTAGTAGAAATCAAGACTTTCTATGACTTGCAATATAAATATAACAAGAACAACATTTTCTACCTACAACAGAACTAATACTTAAGTTCAATATTACTTGTATTGACAACTCTATTGGGAAAACTAGCAGTTTGTAATTACACTGATTCTAAGATGTAGCCAAATCTTTCTGATTAAAGCTGAACAATAAATTTATGAGAGTATTTAAAGTCAATATGATGCAACAACTACACAATAAAAGTTTCATCCCAAAAAGTTATAAAGTATGAAAGCAACTAAAATGAAATGTAGTGGTAACAATATGTAACCTAAAACATGGGCATCATGAAAAATTTGCCTGTATAGTAAACTACATACTACTATATAATTTCAATACCAAAATGTACTAGTATTGTCTGATATTAGGTTCAGGTTAGTAATTGTAAAGTATTCTGAAACCTGGAGGCCATGTATTGAGTTAATTTCTAAATATTCTACATTATAGCAGTACTGCATGTAAAATATTACATTTTATTACAACATATTAAATTAAGGTTAAATTAATGTTAAAATCATAACATTTGGGCTCTAAAAATATGTGGATTTCCATAGCGAAGCTGTAATTTTGTTCTTCAATATTAATCTACTTTGCTCATAGTACTTTTTGGGCAAGTCCCTTTTTCTTCCTTCCTCCCATTTACTTAAAAAGGAATGTGAGAATAGGTTTTCATCATTTTCTAGTTCTTAAGGTGATGTGTTTTTTAGTCTCTAGAAAAACATTAAATCTGAACTCCGGATACGGCTCAGTATCCATTTCATGTAAGTGTTTGGTTCAGCGCTTGTAACAGAAAAATGCTAAAAGTTGAAATGTTCATTATAACTCTTAAAATGGAATCCACAGATTAATTTTTAAACCTTAGTGCAAATGTATCCTACTATAAATTAGAAATAGTTTATCTAGAATGCTTTTACAACCACAAATTATTTTAAATTACAATCTATTAAAAAATAATGATATAATCCAAAAGCTATTTAATTCCTACCAGTTTCATACCAAAATAATCTGTAAAATGAATGAATTTACAGATACTTAGCATTTTAATAATCAATCAGCAGCTATTAAACATATCTGAGCTATATTTTAATACACGTGTCTTGAATACAGACTAATCAAAGAGTTTAAACAGGAATAATAAATTATAGCTTTACTTCATAACAGCAGGCTTACAGAAAAAAAACTAAATACAAATATTTTCATAGTATATATATTGAATTACTCTTTGAAAATTAAATGTTTTTTTTTTTATTGACAAATTGTCATTTTTCATTTGAGATCCAATAAAAGTAGAGGCATTCCTTTGTGTGTGTGTGTGTGTGTGTGTGGTCTGAAAGGCTTTATATGTCTTAGATCTGAGATTATAAAGAGAAGCAAGAACAGCAAATTCAATGTAAAACTAAGGCCAAATAATACTTTTGTAAGAGAATCTTATTGCTATACTAGAATAGAGGAAAGCAAGACAGAAAGCACTTCTTTCTGTATTACAGTATTCCTGTAAGACGAAACTTTTCACTCCTCTTGATTTAGTTTCAGAAATGTTAAGCACATTTTAATGACAATCACTGGAATGACTGTAGATGAAGCATTCACAAACAATCTGTCAGAGGTGGGAATCTTGAAGAAACAGCTTGATAACCAGCATGAAAATTTTAATGTGCAAGTTACAAGACAAGTGTAACAATGTTTTCATCTGGTAAATCCAATTTAGAAAGTTAGATTTCAGCAGCTAGTCAACAGACACTGAGGAAACAACAAAAGTTGATTTCCCTGTCCAGAGGGTGTTTTGGGTGGCTTCTGTTTTTGTCTTTAACTTTCATGGATTTTGCACTCAAGACACCCAGATAAATGTTTTGAATTTGATTTTTGAAGACAGCAAAGAATAAAAAGATAAAGACCTTACCCGTGTAACTTCAGGGCCTTCTAGGTTTGAAGAAATGAGTATTGTTAAAGTCAAATTAAACATCCAATGAGGAGAAGTTCTTTTTTACTTCACAGATCCTTGGAAAGCTTTAAGAGTTAGAGCTTCCTGCTCTAACTCTTAAGTCACTCCTGCTTTTAGTTTTGAAAACTCACAGTATGACACTGCTTACTGCGTGCTATTTTGGGTGCCCTGAGTAAAACTATGAACACAGGCACTTTTGTGCAAAACATCATAAGGCCTCTCTGATGTTCATTCAGAGTTCAGAATTAAAATGCAGAAGGCTTTAGCAAGCAAAATACAAGCTGATTTTCTTTTTCCTAGTGGAAAAATAAAGTACTCCCTGGCAAGTAACCAAGGTGGTGGGAAGGTAATTCATTTTGTGTGAGAGTATTTTGCAAATGAAAGGGGTATGCCTTCTGTTTAGAGATTAGTCAGGAAAACAAGTAATCAATTTAGAGTAGTCAAAAAAGTTAGTAAAAGAGAGTTTCTGAAGTCCATTTTCTGCCCTTCAGCTTTTTTTTTCCCCTTAAATAATTTAATTTCAAGAATCATAAAATCTTAATACTAAAGGAAAAAAATGCCAACGATGTAATTTTATGTCCTTTCTTATTTATTTTGAAAGAGTTATGAAATAAATCCTTTCATTTTTCTCACAGTTGTTTTTTAATTAGTTTTTAATTTTTATTTTTTAAGTTTTTTTTTTTTTTTCTAACAACAGTATTTTTTAACCAGCTGAAAATTATAATAAAAATAATATATTCATCATTAAAAAAATTTAAAAAAACCTTCAAATTCATGTATCTGGATTATAATTATTTCATAATAATTAATTTTTATTTTCAGTCATTTTATGAAAATTTGGACAATTATTTATATACAGTTTATTTATTTATATACAATTTATAAATTTCTTGTGTTCTCAACAAGAAATTGAGGATATTTTGGGAATAAAACAGAACTCTAGATTACAGTAACACTTCTGTAGTGACTATGGAAGACAAAACTTCCTGAGAAGTCTGAAAAGTTAAAAACAAACAAACAAAAACCAAAAAACATCCATGACATTTTGCCAGACTACTAATGTTAAAAGTGAAAAATAATAATAATAATAAAAATAAATAAATAAAAACCACCACCAACAACAACAACAAATACACAAGAAAATCCTTTAAAACATTTTTAGATTTTTCCATTAGTAGCTTCAGGAATAAATGCTCCTTCAGTTGGCAATTTTATTTATCTTGAAGTTTTCTGCTTGAATTAGAAAATGTTGACTTCCTCAGAAAACTGTTCTCTCCTTTTTTGTGCTTCTTCACCCAGATTACAAAGTTTTAGCATCTGTTCCTATGTGGAAATTGAAAAACTCTCATACATATTTTTATCATCTTTTTTAACATAATTTTTCTGAAAAGGAAGGAAAATAAGTTCAGACTATCTCTGCAGGTCTTGCTCCAACATTCAGGAATCTCCTCTCCAGAACACAAAATACTGTTGAACAGGAGATGTGATTCTTCAGCATCTGTAATATTATGAGAAAACACCACTAGGCCATGTTGCCAGGAGATAGAAGAGCAGTGAAGCAGAACATAGTCCTCAAAGGGAACAATGCCGGATGATGGATATGTAAGCTGGAGCACCTCAACTAGCACAGAATCACTGCTTGCTGTATTTATGGCTAAATGTCAGGAGAAAACAATTGGGTTAGAAATAAACAACAACATAAACAAACAAAACTTCACTGTTATATCGCAGGCCTTAAAACTTGAAATGAATGGGCTTGAAGGAACACAGGAAAACTGTCCTTCCATTATGTCCATCCTGACACAATTGGAAAGAGTTACAACCTATACAAAAGTACTGTGTACAATTGTGTATACACAATTGAGCAGCTGGACTTTTTGTGAGATTTGCCAGTTATTTCTCAGTATTTTGAGGATGACCTTCTGCTAACTACTTCCATCGAATTAATATAGCTCCTTTATCTGACCAGAAATTAGTCTGCAATTTATGAACTTGCATACTAATCTGCAAAAAATTCTGGCTTTAACAAATTTGAAGATAGCTACTTTTATTTTTCTCAAATTAGATCAAACATGATAAATAATATTACACAGCACTAGGTTCTTTGAAAACCCTGTTCTTAGTAATAGTTATTTAATTATTTATGAAATTAAATATCCAAAAATAAATATCTAAACAATCTAACAAATTTTTCATATTTGTTTCTTGTGCTCTTAACTCGGGAATGTTTTTACCTATCTAGACGACATCTTGATGTCTGCTTCTAAAATTTAATGTTGGATTTGAGTGAAAAGAAAACTGACAATCTAAAATCATTTTTTCATGTCTGCACTTTTTTTCTTTTTTAATAGGAATGTTTGAGGACAGATGCAGTTTAGTAAAAATGGTTGAATTGTTGAATTTGACTTTCAGTTCACAGTCTGACATCAGCTCTGTACAGGGTAAGGTATAACTTCTGAGGCAGAGGATGGAAAATGTGAAGGAGAATTCTATATTTAGATTTGTGGGAACTGAAGAAGCATAATTGGAATTCATTAATATATTGCCATTTATGACTTTGAATTATAAGAATGCGGAAGAGGTTTCATTCTCCAGGACAGAAATAACTAGAAATAGATGAAAGAAATTAATAAAAGCATTGTTAATGGTAAACGAGGTGTGCTGCTTTACTGAGAATGCTGACTCCTCTCACAGGATGTAACATTAGCAAGATGTGCCATCTGAAAGCAATAGAAATGAGCAGTATGAAGGAAAGCAAAACAGAAGCTTCTTGGAAGCATTTGCTCAAGAGATAGATGATGAGGCAAATTGTCCAGCATATGGTGGACTTTGATGGGGTATCCACAGAGCACAGCAGTAAGGGAAAAAGAAATAGGTTGTGTAGCCTGAACCTTGAAAAGGAAGTCACATAAGAAATCAAATTCCCCAAAGTACGAGAAAATACTTCTCATCTGAGAAGAAAACACATACACACACACAGTGTAGCAATCTCATGTGATAGTCTTCACTTCTCTTTGTCTAGGCACTTGTTTATGACAGGCTGGCTGTTTTGATATTAACATTGAAAGGAAATAATTTTGACTGTCACATATTGACATAAACAATTACCATGTTAGCTCTTTCCTTGTCTCACAGACGATGGTATTTCCTGCAGAGAGGGATCTCAGCAATATGGTAGCTTTTAACAGCCACTGTCACCTTAGCTGTTGTCACAGCTTACCTCCAAGGTGTGTTAAAAGCTTAACAACATCTTGCTCCACAGGGGACATCCATTGCTTGCTGACAGCAGAATTAGCAGTACAATCAACATGAATGGGCAACCCAGTTGTGGTGGAATATGTGATGAGCTTTACATGTCACCTGAGCAAAACTTTGGTGGAGGTTTGGGAAAGATGAGTGTACTTTAATTTATGAAAACAAATACATAAATCATCATCATACTGGAGAGAAAATTCCAAATTCCAGTTAATTTATTTGGATTGCTATATTTTTTTTATTATCGTTTTTTATTTTTCATTATTTCTAAGGTCATTAAAAAGAAGATTTTTATCTATCCAAAAACTGTGGTTTAAATTAGGTGATTGAGAGCAAAGATATTAAAATAAAATTGTCATTAAAATGAAATGTTTAAGGAAAATTTATTCTGTTTTCACTGAAACAAAATTAAAATTAGAGAAGAGGAATTCTAGGAACATTGCTTGTTTTTAAAATAATAAGGAAAAATGTTGAAAAAAAAGAAATAAAAGAAAAATAAAGTAATAAAAATGAAAGGATTAAAAAAGGGTCATTTTTCATTCAAGAAGATTAATGAGATTGTAGAAACCTGCCTTTTGAAACCTGTCTAATTGAACTCATCTCGAAGATTTCACCATCTTGATTTCATTCAATACTATAGGTAAACAGTTATTTCCTTCCTCATTTTCCATTATGAGGAAAATTTGAAATACAGGCATATACTCTGGAAAGGGCAGAATGTTTTCCTGAAAAATCTTGGAAATACAAAAGGGAGGACAAATAAAATCTGGGGAGAAAAAAAAATATATATTTTTCTTAGTATTTATTTTTTGTTGTTTAATTAATCCTCTACTATATCCATGTAAGAAATTTACCCAAGGCAGGACTTTAAAGGCAAGTCTGTGATGGGATTTCAGTTCTATCCAGCTGAGAGGGAATTTCTCTTATAATACACAGAGATGAAAATATAGTCTTTACACCTAAAGAAAAAGAATAGATTTTTTTATTTGAAGATATTTGTCTTTAGAAAGTGAAAAACTAATGAATAAATGGCATGTATATTAGTTTGTAAAGAATAAGAACCCATGATTTTATCTACAAATAAAGTTTGTTTGTTTGTTTTTTTGTTTTTTTAAAAAAAAAAAAAAAAAAAAAAGCAATTTAGAAAGCTTCAAATTTTGGAAAAAATTCAATGAAGCTAGTTAGCATAAACTAGCTTCCCTTCCCTTCCCTTCCCTTCCCTTCCCTTCCCTTCCCTTCCCTTCCCTTCCCTTCCCTTCCCTTCCCTTCCCTTCCCTTCCCTTCCCTTCCCTTCCCTTCCCTTCCCTTCCCTTCCCTTCCCTTCCCTTCCCTTCCCTTCCCTTCCTTCCCTTCCCTTCCCTTCCCTTCCCTTCCCTTCCCTTCCCTTCCCTTCCCTTCCCTTCCATTGTTGTGATAAAATGCATGTTGTATGGAAATAACATACAAACAACTAACTATAAATGTTAAAAGGTTATTCCATCTCTGTGGCAGGTAGGTAGGTAAATGTTTTTGTAGCCCTTCACATGTAGAAAAATATAAAACACGAAGGGAGAAGATATATTAGAAATGTTAACCACAAATTCATTAAGCAAATTAATATGAAGACCAAATCTATAGCTATGACTGATCAGCCTAGTGTTCTGCTCCATTATAATCTCTCAGGATAAGAATGGGTATAGAGATTAGTATAAGAACTAACCAGGTCAACCTAATTTGGAAAAGACATTTATACACACATTTCCATGGCCAAAAAATAACCCTGTTGGATTAGTTCAACAAAACTATATTACATATTCCAATTTCAGAAATGTCAAAGTGTTTTTTAATTAATCCCTGTGACATTTTCATTCAAAAAATGAATGAAATTAAACAAAATGACATAAAATAAAATGAAGAACTCCTGTCTGAAGAATTTGAAAATGTCAGTGCTTCATCCTATGTC